CTGTCGACGAAATGACCCTGTCGACGAAATGACCCTGTCGACGAAATGACTTGTCGACGAAATGACCCTGTCGACGAAATGACTTGTCGACGAAATGACCCTGTCGACGAAATGGCCTGTCGACGAAACAACCCTGTCGAGGAAACGGCCTGTCGACGAAATGACCTAGTCGATGAAACGGCCTGTCGATGAAGTGGTGTCGATGAAATGGTGTGTCGATGAAGTGATTGTCGATGAAATGAATGCGACCCGGGGGAAGCTCAAGACATGAAACCGGTGTTCTCTACAGATGGCACATTTCAGTGCTGCAATTAGCCATGTTTATTTGACTGTTATGGTATGGCAAAATAACAATTAAATTGTTATTTAACCGTTTTTTTCCCGAAAAATACAATTCAAAGAAGATTTATGTAATTAGGCATTTATATATTACTTATGTATGTTAAAAAGCATATTTTATACAGTAGGGAAATGTGCATTTTTTTCTTCGATTCATTTTTAATTTTAACCATTTCAAATTAATTTCTACTTTTTTTAATTCAAAATTCAATAATTTTTTCAAAATTTTTTTTGAATTGTGTTTGAAAATACATCGGTTGCAAATAAGATGTTTTTCAATGTTCTGTTTCAGTAACAAAAAAATGTATTAAAAGAAAGCAAATATTAATCTTATTACGAAGCAAATTTATTTTAATTTTAAAAGAAATAGCAAAAGAAAATAAATTATTAATTGCTATAAATTATTTAACTTTTAACTAAAAACCTAATTAAATATGTTTATTAAAAACACGTTTATAATTTTAGATATCCATTTTAACATAGAATTTTAGTTATTTACTGGTTTACTTATTTGTAAAGTATTTATTTCATATTTATTGTTACCTTTCATTAAAAAGAAGTTTGATAAAAAGATAAAAAGTGATTATTTTTTATTATCTTTAAGAAATATACAATTCAGCGAAAATTATTTATTTTTTTACCTTGCTTAATTTTTCAAAATTAAGGAAAGCAAGAGATTCTTAGCAACAAAAAAATTATTATTTTTTTCTACAAAAATGTAATTTTTTTTAACTAGCAAATAAATTTCAATATTTTCAGTGTTGTATTTATGAAAAAGTCCTATTATATTGTAAATAAATTTCAATAACGTTATCAAATGTTTTAAGTACTTAATTTTTACGAATATTTTAAAATGTAAAACCTATCAAAATTATTTTTGTATGGCTCAAAAACTTATTTTCCTGAAAAAATCACATAAAAATTTATCACATGCTTACATGAAAAAGTTTAAGTACATTACATTACATTACATTAAGTACATTACATTAGTTCATTCCATGTTAAATGAACAATATATTTCATAATTATAAAGTAATTATGACGTAATGCTTGCAATCATGTTCATACGTATAAATATATAAGTAAAATAAACATGAAAACATTATTTTTTTGCCGCTAACTTTCTGTCTCAAATAAAATTATAATGAAAAAAATTAAATTATAACCAACTTATCTAAGGTAGGGTATCAGCCATATATATTGCTTTCCAGAACGTCCTAGCGTTGCTTAAAAAGTCTTAAATTTTATTTGATTTATAAATCAAATATCTCGCAATATATCTGGAAAATTTAAATTCGGAATATGCGACTGGCATCGTTGTTTACATTCCTCCTCTTTCTACTGTGTCTCTTAACATTACACTAAGTTCACGCTTTATTTAGAATCATTCATTCCAATTTCGATTTGGAGAGGGCTACGAATAATAATAATAATTTTAGGTATTTTACTTACCCATATTATTCAAGCTATTAGTATAAGAATGTGTTCAGCATAAGCGGTGACGTCTTCTAGAAGATCCTACGTGATGTTCTCTGTCTCTTATTTACGTCTAAATTTAGACGCTTTGAAAAACGGGTAAATCTCATTCTTTTGGAATATAGCCACACAGTTGCCCGCATAAAACGTGTCTTAATGTTTTTACATAATCTATTCAGCATTTACTGTTGGAGCTAGAAAGTTTTTGTGTATCAGCGATCGCAACCGCGGATGTATTTTGAATTACTTGAATGGAGCACTTTTTAAACTGTGGATTAGAACTAGAAAACGGCTTGTATTTAATCAGGTAAACTATCAAAATTTATATTCAAAGAGTTTTATAAAACAATGGCAATCACCCATTCCGATGTTTTAATTATGCGTAAAAAAAAAATTTGTAAGCACAAAGATTTAATAATGAAAAGAGCTCTAGGTCTGAAAATTTCTATAAAAGAATGATATTGAAAAAGTAGCTGAATCAAAGGTTTTGTAATTTTGTTGTTTTTGTAATTTTTCTTTCATTTTTTTCTCATTTTTCTCTTTTTTTTCTTCCTTTTCTTGGTTTTTTTCTTTTTTTTTCTTTTTGTGATCATCCATTGACACACTTCATTGCGGCGAAGAGAAACGAAATTCATTTGATTTTTTAAAATAATTGTCATTTCATTATTAATCCTTTTTTTAAATTATTTTTCCTGCTGTTTAAACTTTTTAAGCTAGCTGTTGTTTTAACTGTAATTTCAGTAAGAGAGAAAATGCAGTATTTCTCACAAGCAATTAATAACAAATGAGGGGGAATGATAGGAAAGACAGGATAATTTATTTATTTCTCTTCCTCACTTATTTCACCTCAGTCTTATTTATTACTAGAACTTTTATTCTGCAAATTCTTATTTACTTTATTTTGTATGCATTTGGGAGCTAAATTTCCTACTCATTTTCTGTCACTCCTCAACCAACGTAACAGCTTATGCAGTTCCTTTTAAACCCCTTCGCTTACTAATTTCGTTTAACCATTTAGAATGTAATTTCTTTCATACTGCCTTTATTTTAAATACACTAGGCTAGTGTTCCCCAACCTTTTTATCACCGCGGACCTGTCAACGTTTGATAATTTTACCGCTACCAGCTGGGAACGACGACGTTGATTGTTTATATTTTAGATTATTTTGATTTATTAATTTTAATTGCATTTAAACATTCCTTCAAAATAAATACAGTTACACCAAAAAATAAATATAAAGTGATTTAACATTTTAATTTACAAGAACTCTAAATCAATGAGAACCCTGAGCTTGTTTCTTTGCAATATGAGACGGTTCCATCTGGGGTAATCGGAGACAATGACACCCGAAGTGTGTTGCTTATGTCCAGTTTATTCCGTTGCTTTGTTTTGGTTGCTGTTAATGCAGAAAACCACGTTTCACACATATAGGTTGTCGGAAAATTTTAGTGGAACACAGATATTTTTAATTTGGGGTATAAGCCTAGGAATTTAAATTCAGTTTCAAAATGAAATGGGCGGCCCGGTAACATTTGATCCATGGACCGGTCCGCGGACCGGGGGTTGGGGAACACTGCATTAGGCAACCCAGTTTTCTGCTCACTGTTACTCGCCAACCCGAAAAACTGTTTGGACAGCTCTTCTCAGATCGCTTCACTCACTTATTTCGCTTTTCTAACTACTAACGCTTCAACTACTACAGCTTTTTTTTAAGTTCACTACTAGAGATTTTATGCAGTATTTTTTTATAGTCTATTTTAAATATGTTAGGGAATTCAACTTCCACCTCACTGTCACTGGACAACTCGAAGGACTGCTTGCTCAGTTCTTTACAAATCTGTTCGCTTACTACTAATTTTACCTTGGCTCTAGTTGGGTTCAAAATTGGCTCAATATGGGTCCTATAAGAACATGCACCGAGGAACCAATATTGGGATGGCTAGATTTTTTTTATATTGATCCTAGAATGGCTCATATAGCAGTGGTTACCAACTGGGGACCCGCGAAGCCCTTTTTTATGGCCCGCGAAAGAAAATATATTAGTTGTCGTTTTTTTGCGGACAATTTTCGTAAAATCAATATGGGTTTAAAATACTATTCTTCCGTTTAAAAAACCTAATTTCTTCTTTTCTGCGAAATTTAACATACCAATGGTGCAAAAAAATTTATTTCTCAGGTTTTGTGTCCAAGAAAATATTTATTCAAATACAAAAATAATCGCGCATTGTTGCTCTTTTTCATTTTGTGAATATAATTTAGTATATGCGTATCAGAAATTTTCTCGAAGAAATTCTTCCTTTTAACTTTTTGAAACCACTCATTTTTGACGAAATTATTTAAATTTGTAAATTTTAAAACGCGTAAAGGAGGGAATGAATATCATGTTTTATTTAAATTCCTTGAATTGAAAAAAAAATTAATTTCAGATGATCGAGACTTTTTTCTTTCTTTTTTTTGTTGACATAATTCCTAATAAGTAGCAAAAAATTTTAATTTTTCGCAGAATTTGATTTAAAAGAGGAATCTTATCACTAAGTTTCTGATTTAAGAGAAGTTTCAAAATGATACGCAACAAGCAATATTTGTAATACTTGTTATTTTTAATATTAAAAAAACTTTGATAAAAATCTGGCAGTAATATATAATGTTCCTTCAAACATAAAAGAGTCCTATATAAAATTTTGATAAAGTTTGCTGCACGCCATTTGAATGGTGTTTTTAATTGCGGTCCTCGGCCACATGTAAGTTGGAAACCCCTGTTATATAGGGTCTATATCAGTCAATATAGAGCCTACATTGTTGACCAATGTAGGTGCAATATATAATGGATATAAAATATCGGGTGAATCTGACAAAACAATATAGGACCGATGTTGGTTGTAAAGTGGCTGTAAAATATCGGGTGAATCGAAAAATTCTAGGGCCAACATCGGAAGAATTTGAATCTTTATTAAGTGAAGATTCATGAATATTTGCCCAATGAGGGCCCAAGTTATTTTGCTACTAGAATTATTTCTCCTTAGTTTTATTCAACGTTGAAGCTTTTATACTGTAATTTCTTTTATACTTTATTTAAAATAAATTAAGCAGCTCAGTTTCTTGCTCATCGTCATTCGCCAACCAGAATGCGCAGATTTTTATGATTGCAATATCTTCACTCGCTCTTTTCATCTGCCATACTCACAATAAAATCGATGACGGATAATAGGAAAAAAAATAAAAATCTTGGATCGATTAATATTAGCTTTTTGCACCCAAATTTAAAGTCTCGCAGTGGACTAATCGTTAAGATCCAGCAGATCACCAAAGTCAAGCATTACTGGCTGCAGTCAGTGTGCGGGTGGGTGACCACTTGGATCAATCTGCTTTGGTTAGGTACTGAGGGTATGCGGTATTGGTCCTCGTTAAACTGTTCTACCGTAAAGTGCTCGACTTCACGTGCAGGTCGTCGGGCTACCAAAGTGGGGGTGCCATCCCCTCTGCAGAGGATAAAAATTGGGACCGCATGTCTTCGGATCAACCTCAGGGATGTTTCCCAGAACATTGCCAATAGGCCATTGTGCAGCTCTAGTGCGACGTAAATGACCTACAACTACAACTACAACCCAAATTTAAAAGTTGTAAATTGAAAATTAAAAATTGAGTTAAAAATATTTGATTATGTGGTTTATATTTTTGTATTTTAAACCACGAACGCAACGAAAACCAACGTGAATGAAACTTGCATATTAAGAAAGTCAATATCCAAACACATATTTACAAGGTTGACCTGGACAGGAAAAAAAATTGAATAGGTGGGAAAAAAAGGGCCACCACATTTAATTATGACTTGAAATATGCGATGTTGCTTACCATTTACCAATACCTAGAGGACAGTAGTATCTATGTTATGCCAGGTTTCTATTAAGGTGGCATTCAACACTGCAAAGGACTGAAACTGCCCCTTTTTGATATACACAACCCTGCTAAGGATAGCCTCCCCACATTTTCTTAAAGTTAATTGAAGTTAGGAGAATGATGCTGTTGTTGTAGTTCATTTACGTTACACTAGAGCTGCATAATGGGCTATTTGCGACTGTCTGGGAAACATCCCTGAGGATGATCCGAAGACATGCCATCACAATTTTGATACTCAGCAGAGGGGATAGCCCAACGACCTGCACTTGAAGTCGAGCACTTTACGGTAGCACAGTTTAACGAGGACCAATACCGCACACCCTCGGTCCCTACGCAGACTGATCCATGTGGTCACCCACCCGCACACTGACAGCAGCCAGTGATGCTTGACTTCGGTGATCTGCTGGGAACCGTGTCTTAACGATCAGTCCACTGTATGTCTGATGTTAAGAGAAAGAACAGGCCATTCGTGACAAACACCCTGCTAGCCAAAAGCTAACTGTTTGCTTCTTTCTTTATTTATTTTATTCTTTTTTAATTAAAGCACGCTGTTTAGCATATTGTCTATCCTAAAAAGAAAAATAAATATGAATCTCTTTCTGGATTACATAAATAAATATCAACGAAAAGAGCCAGGAAAAAAAACTCAATAATTCCAAACCTAATTTAAAACCTTTCTTATTCTCAGACATAAGAGAACATACCTACAAAAATTATGTCACCGCTAATAGACTCGTATCCAAAAGTTTAAGGAATAAATACATTTTTATGATGAACTCAAAGGTTAATCAAAATTAGTGAAATTTTTAATGAAAATACATCATATTATTACAAAAACAATGATAACAAGAAAGTGATGACACGAGCTTAAGATGAAGAATTTATGAGATTTTGATAAAGTTGCAGCCCGCCATTTGATTGGTGTTTTTAATTGCGACTCCCGGCCTCATGTAAAATGGAAACCCCTGCTAGCTCCAGTAATGTAATTAAAATAATTTGATTGATTTGGATTTACCACGCATCACAAATATGGAATCTATTTTAACTTACTTGGCTAGAAAGAAGTAAAGATGAATAAAGAAGGTGAATGGAATGAAAATTTTATTTTTGATTTATAAAAATAGGAAAACGAAATTAAAAACGAACAAGTATTTGCTTTGAAAAAAGAAAAGAAAAACACTTTAAAAGGAACTATGAGGAAGTATTAATTTTAAATAATGAAGGTGAAATATAATTGTCACACATACCTGATACTATTCCTCCAAAATTATG